TTGGAGGTGCTACATCCTTCCCTCATGTAATAAGTGGCCGCGATATACCTCCTTGCAATGCGAAACATCATATTCTTGTGGCAGCAGACATAAAGCACGGCGAAGAGCATGATGCTGCACAAGGCAACGACGACACGACATGCCGCCCAGCAAGCAGCATTTGCATAAACAGAACACTCAGCAGGCCGTCAGTACGCCACCTGCGTCGCTTTGCCTCTGCTTCCTTACCCGGACATGCGAGCATGGATGCACGTAAAATGTGTTTTGCTGGCATATGCTCACCGTTGCAAATGCATTATGCCAATCACTCAGAGGGAATACTGAATACGGTCCGCGTGTTTGGACCATCTTGGCTGGATACGGTATCGCGGCGATGATGCCATCCTTCCTGGCATATGCCCTCTGCTAGGCTAGGCAAGTGCGGGCCGCGGTGTCCGGAATCCTGTCGGGTCGGTTTCGAGAGCCCCGGCAGGATCGAGGGAAGGTCCGCCGGGCGGTGTCCGAGCGGAGCTAGCTTGCGGATCATATACTAGACTATGCTATACAGGAATTACAAGAATCAGTTGAGTACTTTAAGTTTCGCGCGAATGCAATGCCCTCCCTTACGCTCACTGAGGACAGAAGCTCTGGACGACACCACAGAAAAAACTTTCGCATCTAGCCATGATGTCAACAGTGCCTACACTCGTCTTCACCACCATAATCATCACTATCTTCGCCATTTCTGTGTATATGTATTTATACATATACACAAGCACATAATATGCTTCTGTACACAACACCACCCCATAGATAAAAGGTTCGCCGGAGGTCTGCAACCTGCACCCATCACTTCCGCCGGTGCAGCTATTGGATTGGGGCCGATATTGCTGTCGGATTCGACATAAAGCACAGTAATTCTTGCGGCTGCGCGATTGGAATGCTAGGGAAAGGCTTGGACCCGAAGGGCATGGATGTAACAGGCCTTTTCTTGAAGTCTGGATTCACGAGACATGTAGCGTGGCGCACTGGGAGGTTCTGGTAGACTACGTGTGCTATGGTGCATGGCATCAATGCCGGCATTTTTGGATACGCTCTGCTCTTGAGAAGATAACTGGAAAGCAAGTCCAGCAGTCCAGCAGTTGTGACATCCTCCGTGTAAGCACGAATGAGGGAGGAGCCCTCAGAGTTGGTCAGCCAGCCAACCACAGACACATGCGCACTGGCAGGAAGACATCGAGAAGCTGAAAAAATTCCTCCGCTGCCCAGACATGTTCGAAACTTCTCTGCAGTAACAGAGTTCGCTTCCAACTCTCCTGTACACATTCCTACGGACTTCGGCCACGTGCAGGCATGGGAACAGTCGCAGCAGGCTAGATTGCCTGCAGCATCACCTACTGTAATTCATAGGCCCTGGTGAGTCAGGCCCAGGCGGTTCCTGATTGTGTATCAGTTGCAGTGCCGGGACCGGTTAGCGAAAAATGGTTCGTCGTTTTGTGGTTCGCATCTCTGACGTTGCTGGGATCAATCGGAAGGTGTATGAAACATGGCAGAAGTCGGACCGAGTTGAAGGTCAGACGATCGGACCCAGCCGGGATAGCTACATCGTCTTGAACATGATGCTCTGTTGAAAATCCTGCATCTGCCACAGATTCCATGGCATACGTAGCATGTACATGTCCATCGCGATCAAGCATGAGTTTGTCCAGGTCTGGAGATGCACTTTGTGGGTTTTTTCCGTCTGCTTGTGTAGGCTCAGGCAGTTACACTGGCTGTCATTGTCTTTTCACGTCAAATGGCCATGTGGGAAACTGGTCAGCCTAGATCCCCTGCAGTTCCCTGAGCTGCTGTCCGATCCAGGACTTGTATGGGGACCTCCTGGACCCGAAAACGCTGATTGATCTGATGAATGTAGCTCGGAGCAACTGGCATAGTGTTGAGTTTTAGCCAGTGGAAGTTGGCTTTGGTCCTGCAGGTATACCAAACAATTACTACAGTTCTGCTGTGTGGCCGTTTAGCACAACCATGCCCCAGAGTTGCTATTCCCCTGTGGCCATGTACCTGCCTATGTTTCTTGCCAAGTCACTATCGCCTCTCACTGCAAGTTGCCCGTTGAGAAGTGGCTTACGTCGATCCCAGGACAAATTCGGCGCTCACTGGATTCTTGTGGTGGATGAATGCCATTCAACCTGGCCCATGCTTGGGGTCGCCTCCACAGGATACCGTACGCAAGCTCAGACCTCAGCGCAACGTGTTTGGCGGGATTTCCCGACCGTACCGAGGTGATGTTCTGGAGTTCTTTTAGCCGTGAGTTGCCAAGGTGCAGGCTCATATCGAGAACGGCAGGGCGCGGAGCCAGCTGCTTCCCGTGGATGCCGAGGGGGCCGAGCATCATACCTGAAGTGGACTGCTCTGGTGGCCTGCGAACTGTAAGCCCAGATCCCCTAGATCCAATCAAATGAAAGATTTTGAAGCTCAACACCCTTTGTCCTTTTGCGGCACCCCATCAAACCTGAGAGTGAGCACCGAAACCCCTAAACATGTCCGAATACGATTGTCAAATCCATAAATTCCAGGATTCAGCAGAGCACTGAAGTAATCGAAGTACTTTACATGTAAATGTAGTCCCGCAATCCCAAGCATGGGACCTCAGGCATCGCGGGAACGGGCCGCTGACACTGCCCCAGCTTGAACGTCGCCTCCCGCACTATGTGCTCTGACTGCCGCCTCAAGATCCCAGGTTGATGAGAGTTTGTTGTTTTCGTGCGTTGCTTGTCAGTTAAGCCTGGCCAGACCTTCGGCAACAAAATATGAAAGTGTGACATAATGAGGAAGGGTGACCCATCCGTCGGAGTCTTTGCTTTTCGGTGTCAGGCCGGCTCCCGCATGATCTGGACCTTTGGACAATATCGGCATATTCGACATGTGTAATCCGACATCTTTTAAAACATTCCGGGTTCAAACTTCGTAGACGAGCCGGGCAGAGATCAAGCATGAATGCCTGTTTTGCCTTACCCGGTCTCATCATACCTTTTTCTTTGCGACTTGGTAACCGTGTTACTGCGACAAGCTACAGCTGCTCGAGGGCAACCGCTGCATGCGCGAAATGTTTAGGCATTCCCGGCCTGCCCACCCACACTGCCTGGTAGGGTATGGGCATAGGAGTGTGACATGCTCGGAGTCTTGTGACATTTGTAGATTTTGCACCTCGGCCTCGCCGTCATATGGATGATGTGGCGAAGGGACGGTTTTTGAATACAAGATCTAATAATTACGACAGCACCAACATGCACTGCAACACCTGTCACAACAACAAAACACTGCGAACTTTCATAGCAGAGCCGCCGCATTTCTAAGAAGCTTCGTCCGGCATCGCGGGGCGCGAGACCGTTTAAAGGGTTTGGGCGAAACCCTCAACAGTTGCGGAAAGTGGCCGTTAAAACGAATAGAAAGCTAGGGATTCCCGGTTTCGCAGTTGCGAAACAGGAAAGCCTTGGATCCGAGGTGCTGAACATGTCGGCAACCCCGCAGGAAAAGGCGCAGTGCCTGAAATCTTCTTATCAGGAGTTCTGCATGTTTGTCGTGCATAGCAGTTCTGCCATAATACATGCTGCGTGAAGCAGGGTATCATAACGATAGCTTAAAGTTGTGTGAGTGGGTCATGATACGGAATCCGCAAAACAGCTGGAATCCTCAACCCCCCTTGGCGCCTTGTAGCCCCAGGATCACAGAGAAGACTACTTTAGGGGCCTTAATAATTAGAATGAGGTTTCGGGTATCTTACTCCCAAGTTGGTGTTGGGTGCACCTCTTTTAGACGGGGGATATATCAGGCAAGCGAAGGCATCTTTTTTGTTTGGCAGGCCGGCGTAAACAAATCTTGAGGGTTGATCCGATTCGGAGAGGAGGGTGTGGTGAGCCGGAGACAAGAGGGGTCTTGAACAAACGTGGACGAGACCTCATGGGTGGCCCGAGTATACTTGAGGGGAGTGGAAAGCGGCGAATTATCAGTAAATATGCAGAGAAAGCAGCAGAGCGCACAGCATAGCGAGGGTTCAAGGCAAAGTTAGTTCAACACCTGGCAGAAAAAAAGCCTGTACTTTCGCAAATTCAGAGTCGCACACGCACGCACACGCACGCACACACACACACACACACACGCGCTCTCTCAGGCGATTTTGGACGGTTGGAGGCACCTTCTTGAGGAAATAACCCGATCAATCAAACCACGACCCATACCCAGCAACAATTAATAGCGGAATCAGAATGCAAACAGAAACGGAGACAACAATGTGGGCCAGGCTTTTATCTGACAACTCTCGACGAGTCAGTCGTCTGTAAGTGTTGACAGAATCGGCGAGCCATGTGCTCGACTCATAGTGATGGTTTGTGTTGGTTGTTCTTCTATCTCCTGCCGGAAAGAGATCAGCAAGATAGGTTTGATAGGGCCTTGCCTGAACAGAAGAAGAGGGGGAATGTGATGTGCGTCCCTTGCAGGCCGAAGACCTATTGGGAGAGCAAGTCGAGTTGGATATCCGGCCGACGGGTATCTTGGAGCCTGCTTCCAGGCTGCAGGGCACGGCTCGGACGGACAGTCCTGTGATTTCCTTTTGAACAGATTTCAGGAGGCGGCCCCTGGTCAGGATAGCGTTCGGGAGAGACCGAAATCGAGTAATTAGCAGCAGCAGCAGGAGAAGTAGTAGAATAAGCCCTAGCCTAGTAGACGCAGTCATATCCACCGTTCTGCGGCAAGAGAATGCAGAAAGTATTGAAATTGCATGTTGGCGCTGCAAGTTCTGCTGAGGAGATTTTCAGAATTGAGATGGAGGGGTTCCAGCAGGTGCGGCATGCATGTTGCCGGGCTGCTTTCAAAGGGAGCTTTGCACGTTGCCAAGGTTGCTGCAGAGAGCAAAAATCATCCTTTTTCCACGTCGCACAACCAAGCGAGACGGAAAGAAGCAGATAGCCAAGATCCTCGAACCTGTGCACTCATTGCTCTCATCCCAGCTGACAGACGGCCAGGGCCCTGGCGAGAGCAGACACAAGATCTGGAGCCAGACTTGTATTCTGGGTTGCGCTGCCGGAAAGTTCTCCAACTTTGGTGATCCGTTCAGTGAGTGGGCTAGGGCCGGTACTGGGGAGCATGATGCGGGTTTACTGGTCTCATATTTCGGACATGTTTGGAAAGTGCCAGGTGGCAGAATGCAGAACAAGCGGCTGGGGGATTCCGAAAACATGCTCAGTTGAAATACTTATTCATGCATGTATGCACACATCACCAGGCATGTGCATGTATACATATTGTATATGTATATTATATATGTATATTTTAAGTTTAATGTAACATTCGTTATATGTGCAAGCATACTTGTTTACATACCAATGAGGAGAAGAAGAACCGTAGCAATAACCAGATTTCTTCTACATATACTCATACAGACATGCCCCCACACACATGAACATATATACACATGTGTTTGTAGGTAGGTGGGTAACAGGCAGGTAGTTGGTATGTATGAAAGCACACATTTTGTTCACATGCATGAATACATCCGCAATCATATACGCATACAGGTACATATACATACTCACGTACAGGACATGTGTGTCTGTACCCATCCCTCTATCCCTCTTCACGTATATACAATCCGTATACATATATATATATATATACACATACATATATACCCATACACACACATACAAAAACTGCACATGTATGTATCTCTGCGTCTATATGTACATGTACATACGTAAATACATACGTACATATATGTATATACGTGCATCCACGCACACATGCATATTGTATATCTGTATGTATGTATGTATGTATGTATGTGCATCCATGCGTATACCTGTTCATGTAAATATAGGAATAAATACAAATATAAATATAATTATATATATATATATATACATACACATACTTACAAAGGTATGTATGCATGTATGTATGTGTGTCAGGACAGTGGGAGTGGAGTTGGTCGGAGAGGTCAATTTTCTGCGCGCATTTGATCCACATGTCTTCGGACAACCGGCATGTATCAATCGGTGTTCCTTATTTCTTTCCGGCCAGGAGCCTGTATTGCTCAATCTGCAGCATCCTCGGCATCGCTTCGCCGGGAAGGCAGGAAAAGGTGGACCGCCCCCGCGGCTCATCATCGAATTGTCTGCATTTCGGCGCTTCGCTTGGTAGATGTGATAGCGTTGGCGGCGAATACATGGATGCACAGACAGACGCGCCGCGCCTGTCAAGACTGCGCAGTCTTCAGAAAGACATTAGAGCCTGTCTTCCAAGAGGTTTGGGCAGTAGACCTGTGCTTGCCTTCGGAAGACTCTTGAGCCTGCTCGTGTGACTGTACCGGCAACTTGAGTCTGTTGTGAGCTAGCTAGCGCTTACCGATGCAGCTAAGGACAGGAGGGCGAGCAGGTGATCATTTCGTGCGTCACCAACAACCAAGCAGAGGAGGGGTCCTCTAGCGAGTGCTTCGGATTTGCATCCTCATCCTCAATGCATGCACTCTTCGGCGTGGGTTAGTTGGAACTTGCAGCTAACAGTTGGAGGCTCCGTGTGCTCAGCTGGTCCAGCTCCTGATGTCACGGAGAACAAAGGGGAACTTGATGTTATGTAAAGCTAGGATTACCGTATCGTCCCAGCATCCCTTGCTGCAGGTCCTTTGGGGTATGCTGACTGTCGGGGCCTGAAATTCTGGATGGCTGTAACAGAACACTTTGCATGTTGAGCAAGGCAAAGACGTTGTATGTATTCGACCTTGGGAAACAACAGGGGCACTTCCTCCACGGCGCACGCCATTCTTCCACCAAGCGACTGAAGATCCAATAGATAAAAACATGTGGGTGCGGGTTTTATGTCACACACACACACACACTATACTTGTGCTAGCCGACGGACCAATCTTGCGCAGTGAATACCTTATTTAATTCAAGTGTACGGAAACTGTATATGATCTGCGTGTTGTGTAGTGGCTGCAGTGGGGAGTTCTGGGATATCCAACGTAAGTACGGTTTGTGTCATTACAGACTCTAGGAAGTTTATAATTCGTAGATGATAACATGAGTTTGGTGAGCAGAGGATGAATGCCTGAAAGGGCAAACATGAAGCCCTGGTTGCTGCTGCAGATGACTGACGAGAACTGCAGTTCGATTTCCTAACAGTTTCCGAATGCTTTGTACAGGTATGAGCTTGGACAGTTCGACCCTGTATATTTTAGCACATATGCTGAGTCATTGCCAATATGACTTACACCTACGTACTTCCTACATTTTCGACTTGCATGTTCAACATGTTCAGTTTGCTTTTCAGTATGATGTTGATACTTTTATTGCCAGTGATCCGAGAAGAGTTCCTGGTGATTAACAGATTGAATTTGTCAGGTTAGATTTGGATCTGTATGAACGGTTGATTTGGAAGGATATATTTATCATGTACAGCCACTATCGACTTAGTAGCTGGATCTTGCTAGTCTGCGCACTGAAAACCTTAATCATGTGCACGGTTCAGTCTGCGCAGTATTCAGACTATGTTTATGCAGTATGTAGTTACTACCCATGCACTGCGGATAGGGTTACAAGTACAATGTCGTTGTAACCCTACCCGCATTTCATGGGCATGTGCTGAACGATCGCCGGCGAACATTTGAACATTTGTGTATCGTATGTGTCAACAACACGGTGTGTGTACTCAATCGTGGTGTTGGCGAAGTAACAGCCCAAGCTTTTCGAGGCCCAAGTAAGACCGGTAGATGCTAGCGGCGAATCCAACGTTATCTACCTAATCTCATCATTGCGTAGTTGAGTGCTGTTCATGTCGCATTCCCTGAGCATACTCACCTCTACATGACGGAGGTTGGTCCGGGGGGTTACTAGCTCCACCTCAAACCAGTCCGTTCTGTAGAATGTATGTATGTATGTAAATACAGAATTCCTGTTCTACACAACATATACAAGTACTTTTGCATATATGTATATGCGTCTTACTGTTTAACTGAGTCCCTGTGCTGCTACTCATGATTGCGCATGCCCATTCAGAATAGCTGAGGCCCGAGGGGAAGCCGCGGCAGTAGTCCATGGAGAGATGGACAGCAGAAAGAAAGCAGCAGCGCTGCGAGAGCTCCTTTACTCAAGTAACGGCGTTGTCATGCTGTGTTATTTCAGGTTCTGTTGTGGTTCCCACAGGCCAGCCTTCACATCCTTGCCTGGATACAGGCTGTTTTGCTGACCAGATGTCAAGGTCACGAAGTGGGGCATCCCGCTTCTGGATGGGTGGCTAAAGGGGTTATCTCGGCGGACATCATGCCAGCACGACCTAGGTTCCGAGAAGGCCAAGTCGATATCCTCCTCGGCTCAAAGGGCCTGATCGAAGGACGGGAGAAAGCCTTGTTTTGCAGCTGTTGCTGTGGCTGTCGCTGTCATGTTGTTGCTACATGTTGCTACTATTGCTGCTGCTGGTTTTTGTTACTTGTGATTCCGTACTTTGCTGCTCTTTAGAATTGAAGCTTTTTGACACAGGAGAACTGAAGTGTATAGAGTTTTTTGCTAATCCTGGTTGTTTTCGCCGTGGTTGGTTCGTACTATTGGCGATGATATGTTGCTCTTGGTTGCAGGTGCTGTTGCTGCTGCAATTGCTGCGGCTGCCACCATCACCATCATGATGATGATGATGATCATCATCATCATCATTATCAGCATCAGTCTTGCTATTGCTGCTGGCGTTGCTGTTGACGATGATGTTGATGTCGATGTCGGTCTTGTTGCTGGCGTTACGTCTATTGCGGGTGCTGTTACGTTCTTAATTTTTGTGTACAGGACCGTTGATTCTGTCCGGTACGGTCTTTTAGCTCGATTGGAATTGTAGCCCATTTGTGCACATTTAATGTATATAACTATGTGCATATGTGCGTGTTGTCGTCGTTGCTGTCCCTCCTTGTTATTTTGCTTCTTGGTGGTGGTGGTGGTGGTGGCGGTGGGGGTGGGGTGCCTTTTCGTGTTGATGATGTGGTCGTTGCATTTTGTTGTTTTGTCGTTGTTGTGCTCGCTGGCATTGTTGATGTTGATTGTTATGGTCGAGGTGCTGTCAGTGTTTCGGACTTGTCTGGCGCTACACTGTTGTTGCTGTGCTGTTTGTCGTCGTCGCACTTCGCAGTGGCAGACATCGTCGACGCAATCGTAGTAGCAGTTTCAGCCAATATTGGTGGTAGTAGTAGTAGAAGTAGCTGTAATAGAAGAAGTAGAAGCTTTAGTAG